ACTTGAAAATGAGAGAAATTGGGATATTTTGACCAATTTTGGTCTAAATTATGAAATTGAGAATTTGCACCAACTTGAGAAAAAATCCTGTGGAAAGCACTGCATTACAAGCAATACCTATTGAACACCATGTACACATGTATTAATATACTTTGTATTGTAAACACATTAAGAAATAAAGAAAATATATATACTGCAAAACAGGTTATGGATGTTGGACGACTGACTCTAGGTATACTTGATCAAAGATAAATAAAGTTATCAAACCTCATCTTCAATTTGAGTTTCAGTTGCTACAATTTCAAATATAAGACATCAAATAACAAAGTACTATTTGGACACTTGTGATTGGTTTCGGAAAGATCTTGCTGTATAACACACCACTAAGTACCAGCACAGAAAAATAAGCATGTACATCCAAGGTATATTACAAACTACTGTAATTGAAGTTGAAGACGAGTCAATACCCTTTGCATTAGTTTGACTTCACTTCTTAAAAGAGAGCTTCGTCTTCGTGTAGTTTAACTAGACTCTGCGCACAGGGTAACGAGTCAACCTACTGCCCATTGAAATTATCCTTGAGTCTGAGATGGAGCCAGAGCCTAATTATGTTACATAAAATTGCCACTTTCAAATACCAATATTTTCCTATTTTAACAAGAGAACTAATTGATTCAACCAACCAGCAATGAGGGGTGAAATTAGTCTCCTACATCATCAATAGTAGATGTAGAGGTTCACCAATGACTTTCAAATCATACATGGAAGACAGACCACAATACTAAAAATATGGTTAATGGCTAATGGGCTTGAATGAAAACACTTTAATTAACTTGAAAGTGGCCTGCATATTTCATCATATACATTTTGTAAATATGTCCTGATAACCAAAACATGATAATGTATTGGATGTTATGTTGATGAATTTCCTATGTTTCCTTATATTATTAGTAAGGTCAAAAATGGGAGAAATACAGGCAAACTGTATATATAATCAAAAACAAGATGATTTAACTCCTGGTATTTCAAAAGATAAATGAATTATGAATGAGATTGGAAAAACAAAGGAAATAAACGAGATGTCCAATCTGTCATAAAGAGAGGAACAAAGGCAGCACCCATAATGAGAAAATAAGCCTTATTTACATGTACATGTCCACGTATGCACATATTAAAGTAAGTATTTGTACATACAATGTTATTATCTAAGCAGATGGCCCCTTAAATTCTCATGTCTAATTTTCTATAACTGATGAAAATTAGGTCAATTAGGGTTGAAAACTGGAGAGACTCACAATCACAACATAACTGAAAATCTACTTGTACCATTAAAAGAATGAGATAAGGATTTCTAAATTCATGAAGGAGAACTAGCAGTTAGAACTGAAGAGAACATACTGTACTATAAAAGTTATTATAGAATATACAACCTCACCCCAGCTTTGTCGTAAACAATACACCCCTGCTTTATTATACACTACACCCCTGCTTTATTATACACTATTACACCCCTGCTTTATTATACCCTATTACACCCCTGCTTTATTATACACTATACGCCCCTGTTTCTCCTACTGAAACTGAATATTATGGAAATTCTCCATTTATCTGCCTTGTATTATCGTTGTATAAAACAGAATGAGTTACTTCCAAAGAATTAATAGAAAGAATTGATTAGGTACACAATAAAAATTCCGGAAGCTATAGGCATGTGTGTAGGAGGGGTTACACTCTTATCTTACAGTCATTTAAATTGATAGTTGCTACTGTACGTACTCACAAACCAGGAAAATTAATAAAAAGTATATTTTTGGGTAATAAAGATATCAACTTTAGTTTATTTTTCATAACGAATAAACATTAGATGTAATCTATGGAGAAAACATGATGATATATTTATAACATTTTTTGAGAGGTATCATGACATACTAAAGCTCTGATAAAATGAGTGCTTTGGTTGGTAATAGGGGCTTTATCATTCCGCCTCTGTTTTCATATCATTCGTAATTAAGCTATTGTAATGTGAGGCTGTCTCCTCTCATTTTGTATAATCCATGTTCAAATATCGTCTCTAAACTGACAATATGACTTCATACAATACCATCCATACTATTGGGGTCTTATACTAAACCAATATATTTCAGTCAACACGAAATACCCTGATAAACAGGACCAAGTAGGAGGTCTTTTAGAAGACAGTAAAATATAATGCACCCACGTGTATTTTTGGCCAACTGTGGTGGGTTACCACTCTACTAAGTTCTTATGCAATAGAAAGCTATATACATCAGGCAATGTAATCAATGAACATAAACAGGAAAAAAGTCCATGGGGTGCTCTGTCCTCCCTGTGTTTTTAACCCCTAATTGATGACTTCACTTTGAATTGCCTTGCCAATTTAACTTTAACTTGGGCAATAAACAAATTGCATTATCAAAATTACTGTTAATCACTGAAAAACTGTCTTTAGAAAAATATTGCTACAAAATCTGGACCAAATCTGTGAACTGGTTTTTGATTAATAATTTTTTGTAAAATGTGGCAGTCCTTTTAAAATGAGCAGTCATATAAGCCATATAAGAAGTGCCTTCTGGAACAGAGGTCTATAGAGTACTATTTCTATAAAATAATAGCCTATAAAATTTGAACCAAATCCAATAACTGGTACTAGATGTAAATGGTGGCCATCTCAAATTAAGCTGCACAAATCTTACTATTCCTCAGAATGTGGCTGTGACAAATCTATACCCAGACATAGGTAGAGGTGTCACAGTTTCTCGATATTCAGTGAAATCAGGGAAATCAGTGTCAAGGACGTTTGAGTTCATGAGATCCAAACGAGATATGCAAATTTATGAACTTTGACTTTTAACTTCAAACACATGACCACTTGATTAGCTTAGCCTTCTTCATGAATATTCCCGCTCTATTTACTATAAATGACGAAAATCAATCAGGATAATGATAATAAATTACTGATAAATTCCTGCACAAATTGAATTGATAAATATCTGGTCCACATATGTGTTTATCAATGACAAACATTTTTTGCTTCATTCTTTTGCAGGTTATTTGAATGAAATCGGACTACAAAATCCTGAAATATAGCAACTTTCATAGATCCTGTCCATCGTTATAGAATTTTTTTATTTTATGCTTTCATACATTGAATACCCCAGGACTTCAACATAAATACACTTTCAACAACTGCAAAAGCACATATTAAAAGCTTAAATATATACTAGTTCAGAAATTAAAAAGACCACAATGTATACTTAATATTTGCCGAGATAGGCTACTTTGGGTGTCTGAAATAATTGTCAGTGTCCGCAACGCAAAGATTTCTTTAAATACTGGGCACAGGCAAGACATTGTTTGGTGGTGTTTTATAGAGTGTATTGGGACGATCAATTACCACCAATAATAGCTTCAGTAACTGCAACCTTACATAGCATTTGGGCATATAACAGGGATCTTATTCAGTGCCCAACAAGATTCAGTGTCCGCAACAGAATTATTAACCAATGTTTCATGCTTAATGAACACCAAAAAATCCTTAAACTTATTTAAACTGTTTATAAATGGTGTTTTGATATCTTTTAAGATGATGAAGACGAAAATTTAGATATGAAAATTGATGCCAGGACACTGAAAATAGTAAATTTACAGTGTTTGATGTTAATATTGGTGGTAATTGATAATCCTAGAATACTTTATGAATAACCACCAAACAATGTCTTGCCTATAAGTTTAGAAGGTTTAAGAATTTTCTAGGTGTTCTCTACTGGCAAATATTTGATAATGATTCTGTTGTGGACACTGAAATTTGTTGCGGACACTGAAAACAGTACATCATGTGCCCAAATGCTATGTAAGGTTTCGGTGATTGAAGTTATTATTGGTGATAATTGATCATCCCAACAAACTTTACAAATAACCAACAGACAAACTTTACCATGTGCCCAGATCGTTTTGTAGTAGGATCTCACAGGCTCAAAGAATAATTCAGAAGATGCGTCACTAAATTGGAAAATTTCCAACAAATTGAACACCTTTCAAAATATTCATTATACAAAATGGTACCTGCTTCCCTGTGACAGATTTTGCACTTAATTTACAGCTGAGATCTTCATCTTTCTATTTCTACTTGTTTGGTTTGAATAAATAACCTATGGACGCAGTATTTTGACTTTTAATACGGCAAATATTTTTGACTTGATCCGGGCTCTTGTGTGTCCAAATATCATTGTAATCCTGACGTCACATTTCTGGAATGACGGAAGCACCATTCAGATTTGGACAGACAAGAGCCCGGCGATATAATATCACTATTTTGGCCTCTTATCAATGCATTAGTAATCAGAAAGGTAAAGAATAACAAGACGCTACGAATGAGGTATGATTTGTCTCATATTTTTCAGAAATGGCTGCACAATCGTCATTTATTGAGGAATATTTATTGAGCAACTGATCCTACTACAAAAGAATCTGGCCAGGATCTATGTCAAAATACCCCGTATTTCCACACCTTTTTAAATGACTATATCTTTGTCAAATATTGACCGATTTTTATTTTGTTTACAGTTTCATAAAGCCGAGGCAGAGCTCTAGCTGATGTAATATACTAATACTGTATGCCTTATTTAAAAGAACATTACATTAAAAATCATGTAAATGCCCTAGCATGGACATTATTCATATTGAAGATTGCCCAAATGCCCATATGTGTTCTAGCTAAATTGATAAGTTATACAATATTACAAATAATCAGCGGACAACAAATGATTGATTAGAAGTCTAGAGTCTATTCTGATCTCATTCAAGACCTAGCCTGAGCTTATTTTGCACTTGACTTGCACTTTGCGTTTCCAGAGCATGAGAGTTCAGCTGACAAAAATAAAAACAAGAGCTTCAATCAATTTTTTCTTCAGTTTTGAGGCAATTTGACAGTTCACACTTTATATTTAACTGAAGTATATTATCATACAAAACATACATACCTTATTTAATGCCTTTAGTGTGTATTTTCCTTGAAATCAGCACAAATGTTGACCAACGATTAATTTATTAACACATCGATCGTTCTCCAATACCCGGATGTGTGTAATGAGAAGTTCAAAGTGCGTCAACTCGGCTATATCTTACGTCGCCAAAACTACTTACTTTATGATGCCTATTGTCTAATAATTACTTGTACATGAAACACTTCTTTTTGCACTATCGAATCTCTCAATATCTGATCTAATTTCATCTCTTAAATTTGCTTTACTTTGCACGTCAGGTGGTTCAATGAGTTGTGGACCCGGGGGTTTCGGACGATTGCATTTACAGTGTATGTCTTGTATCAAGACTTTGAATAAGATCCGTTAGCACTTTGAAGCCTCTGATACAAGACAAACGTCAGAACGAATCAAGTCCATTGTGTGATCCACAATGTGTGCTATTTCTTGAAATACACAGGCTATACTGCAAAATCTGTTTCCTTCAGCTGAATTGAAGGCACCAACTTGTTAGAGATCAATTACCCATATGTACTCATAGGAAGGCATTGCGGCTTACTTTGCATTAATGAGTCAAACAAACCCCCCCCCCCCACTGTGTAGAGTATTGTTATGATAATTTTGTTTATTGAAAACAATAACATGATCAGCAAAAGGAACATTGTAAACAGTAAGAATGATATTAAAGATTAGAATAATGGTGACCTTCCCAGTGCTGTGATCAAACTAAAGCGTGGTTAGACATTTCTTGATTGAAGACCTCAGGCCATTTTCACTCAAGCACAAAATGCTCGTTGCATCGTCATTCTGCAAAATTGCTTTGACATATACGAGGGGAGTAAGTCACCCCCTCTCTAATATTCTATATAATGGCATTAGGGTCCACTCACTTATTTCAAAATTCGCTATATTAAATGAGGTCATTTGGGGAAACTCGGCTATTTCAAAAACTTTAACAGAAAAGGATATTTTTCGAAGGAGCTTTAGGTCTTGAATATTCAAGTGAGCAACCTATGTCCAAGTCCATTGATTATGCAAGCCATATATATTCTCATGAATTGATAATACTTCAGGGTTATTTAGGGTGAGAAACAAATTAACTGTAAGCCCTTTCATTTTTTGTGTGAAATAACAAAAAACAATAACAAATGATTACAATTTTAATTTTTTATGTTTTTGTATTTCATTTTAGTATTTCTTGTTAACTTTGTTTGTACATGGTATGTGTCACACATTCACAAGCTTATTGAATCTCATGCACACCACTGATATTGTCACTAAAACCAGCACACACTTACACCATGTAGCCCCTAGAGGGGGAGCACGTTATGTAAACCCCAAAAATTGTAATGCATATCTTGCTTGATTATCGGGCCTTGTAAAAATATTGCCTATCAACCATTCATACCATTATATGCTTCTGTTTTAGAACATTTTTACATATTTTTTCAAAAATAAAGTACAACTTTCTAAAAGCATATCAGGCATTCTGTAATATTTTAGTATATATATCTATATAACCAAAATTATGTCAATTAATACCAGGATTCAGCAGTAAAGACGAATAAGGTGACAGTAATCTCTATACACAATAGATCATTTTGACAAAATAAAACTATATGAAATAGTGTTGGCACGTTCACAGTAGTGTATGCTATTTGACCAATTCATACCTTCTTTTGGCCTCTCTCTCAATGTAAAGTTCAACGATTATATTATCTCAACAGTTCAGTTCTTCATTAGTTTTCCATACTATCGTATCTTTAAAAATGGCATCAATTGTGTATTCAGCTTACTCCATTTTAAATCAAAAATAAACAAATCTCAAATGATTAGATCGCCAAGTTTAACACAGCATAAATTAATTAAACAACCAATAGCCAGACATTATAAAGTACAGTGTTGTGTACTATGTAGGTATGATATCTGACAATTACACAAATACATCAACTGAATTACAGTATTAAGATCTCATTCATAATGAACCAGAACATACAGTCCATCACTTTTATTGTGGAAACTCTGTACCATTCAATCCACCAGAAATGTCCTTGTTAACACAGGAAAATACAGTCCAGTTCTAAACGCTGTATAAAATCACACAAAACTAAGCATTCAAGTAGGTACATCACAATGACGTGATGAAATATTCAGTGAAATATTCAAAAAAGTGTTTTACTTTATTGAACACCTTCCAGTGTGTCTATTTCTCCTACATTGACACGATCTGGAGCCGCGTGAACAGAGAATCCCAAGATGCTTGGATCTAATTTTTGCATTTTTGACTTTTTCTTCTTATTTTTGACTGCCTTGTCATCATTATTGTTTTGTGTTTGACGGCCCTCATTAGGATTAACTGCAGGCGCTGGTCCCCACATGTTCTCCTGCAAAATGCAAAGACTTGTTTTAATAATCTTATGCATTGATATGTCAGTATGTGGTAAATCATATAATGAGTCGTATACCTTGAATTGTACTCAATATACAGTGTGATGATCTGGACAGAACAAATTCTATCTTTAGACATAATACATATAACAAACAAACCTCAAAGGCAGATTACAATATCCAGAAACTTGATATCATTACAAGGTGAATGCTCTAAGCTTTACTAATGTGCTTTTTGTGTAAATGTGCTCGTCTCTGTAGAACTACAGTAAAACCTGTGTAAGTGGAACTCCAATGGTAACTCAAAAATAATGTTCCATTTGTTACACTTGCAGAGGTTCATTTTACATTAAGATTTGGGTAACTGGACTTCATTGAAGTATTCAACTCATTGAAGTGTTCAACTCATTGAAGTGTTCCACTTACAGAGGTGTCCCACTACAGTGGTGTTCCACTTAACAGGTTTTACTCTTCAAACAATTCTCAAAATTACTTATTCTTTTAACATTATTTAAATTGTATAGATTCATTCCCGATTACTAACCTCACTCTGATTCCTCTCCTGGTTGCGGCACTGACTACGTTTCTCCAGGAACGCTGTTGCGAATGCCTGCGTGTCTCCAGTCTCACCCAGGTATGACTTCACATAATCGTGAACTTCATATGGAGAGTCCACATCTTGTAGAAATGCAACAAATGTGGGGACTGTAAACAAAGAGAACATTTTATGATTTACATTTTTGCTTTCTATAACTGATAAAATACAATCCAAATTACTTATTAACTCCTACTTATTGCTCTATTTCGTCTATTTCCCAAATATTGAATAGTGAATGTAACGTTATATACGCTGTATTATATTGTAATTTGTTCACAACTCATTTGGACTTTGGAGTATATGTTCCATATTTTATGCATGTAATAATGGAAGACAGACCAAGACCCTTTTATATGCAATTAAACAATTACACATCAGAACCTGTTACTACTCAGTTATTCATCCTTAAACTTCTTGACGCAACAAGTAAAGTAGTCTTGCCTTGACCTGATCTAGCTTCCACTGAGCTAGAGGGTGGTGTGGTAACACACATCCTAGTCAAACTGGAGTTCATACACCAGATAGAGATAAAACACTCTTGCATGCTACCAGGTAAACAGGGCGTTTGGAACAGCCATGTACATAATACATGTAGGTACCTTATATACATCATAAAGACCTACTATCAACAGAAGCATTTAATCCTTTCAGAGCATTGTGGCACCATTGTGTGAAATCATCCTGGGGTGGGGACCGAGCCTGGAATAACCTCTGCACCATTTCTTCCTCCTTCTTTGACCTTGAAGGCCCTTTAGACTTATTGCTGGTATTCACTGGCCCATTAGATGAATTACTCAATGACTGTAGACTCGGGAATCCAGTTTTTCTGAAAATTATTACGGTAGTGTGTTAAGCACATAATCACAATGCATGTATGACTTACTGCACTTAGCATACTGCACTTTTACACCTAGCATTATTTGACTTCAAACAGAAGTGAAGGTTATCCACAAATGATAAACTCATTGCACTGAGTAGTTAATTTCCTTTGGAATAACAAAAAAAAACATATGAGTTAAAAGTTTTCTTACAGGTGTTTTTATGAAAAATAGCATGCTCCATCAAGCTGGACAAATTCTTCGATGACAACCCATGCTTCTATGCATTCCATTGTTTAAACATTAGTACTTACCCTGTATTATTTTTCTGCTGTTGACTACTATTGCTGACCTCCCAGAAGCCGCCAGCATTTGCTTTATTGGCCCCCCAAGCACCTTCACTGGCCCAAGTAGCTGCATTAGCTCCACTATTCCATGTAGCTGCTGCAGCTATAGACATCTGTGCCTGCAATGTCACAAAGTAACAAATAACAAGTCAAACATAGAAATAAATTTCACTATACATTCATTTTTGTTAGGTTAATTTGACATGACAAAGTTTTTAAGGGTTGAATAGTCAGATTAATGCTTGCGAGCTTAATATACAGATTTACAGTAATTCACATATAAATATAATAGGACCTTATAGTTGTTGGAGACCCATTGCAGTTGTAATGTGCCAATGTATGTTTGTTGAACTGGATGGTTGGGTGTAGCTTACCTTGTTAGCTTGGGCTTGTTGTTGCTGCTGCTTACGCTGGTGATCAGCTTGCAACTGGCGCGCCTGCTCCTCTTGTATCTCTAACAGGGACTTACCAGAGTTTGCCCTAGAATATATAAAAGTTTTAGTTGCTCAGATATGGATATGATAAATATCATATGAAATGTTATCAGTTTCAAAGATTGCATTTTCAAGTAAAATGATGTATTTTTTTATTAATTGAACAGCTATATTGAATATTCATTCTGGTGCAGAGATCTTATGCCATATAATAAGGCATCAGCTTATAAAACTTGAACCAAATCCGTCAAATGGTATTTGAGCTATCACCCAGACAGACGAATGGATGGATGGCTTCTCTACATCTGTATTCAAACTTCATACAGTCGGATAATAAAGAATTAATTGATTTGTTTAGAGAATAAGAAGACATGCTTTCATATACATTTTAATGTAAGAACTTACTGCGCCTGTGCAGCTGCCCAAGACTTCTGCTGCTGGGCCTGTACTATTGCCTGGAGCTGCTGCCTCTGTATGTCTATCTGTCGCTGTCGCTGAAAGTAAATAACATTTTGGAACATGAATGGGAAGACTATCTTACTACTACGAAACTATGCATTTACTGAAGTTAAATACTAATAATCAGAAAGGGTCTTACAATCTTGATTTGCATAAGGGTTTTTTGGTGAAGTAATCAAAAGAAGCTTGTTACAGGATTCAATCCAATGTGTTGATTCCTTGAAAACAGAGCTCTGTTATGAAATCTTAATTTATGTTCTTATTGAAATCTAAATTTTCAGTGAGGTTCATTGGTATCGATAATGATCAGCTCAAGCCTGGCAGAACATTTTCTGACATCTAGCTGATATTTTTGTAATCTAAGTTCTCACCTCCTCCTGTTCATTCCTCTCTTTTTCCTCTTGCAGTTTCTGTATCTGTGCAAGTGAGAGAGCCTGACTGCCTGCAGGGGGAGACACTCCTTTGCCCCACTGGGCAGATGTAGGAAGCTGAAATATGCAACATAGAGACAATATTAGACACTGTCAATGAGGGAACCTGCCTGCAGGGGGAGACACTCCTTTGCCCCACTGGGCAGATGTAGGAAGCTGAAATATGCAACATATAGACAATATTAGACACTGTCAATGAGGGAACCTGTCCGCAGGGGGACAATTGTTGTGATTTACTGTTGATAACCCTCACATATCAAGTCAGCATCAAATCAAGCTTAACATGCTATCATGCAGAACCGAAGGGAATAATACGTAAACATAGAACAACCAATGAAAGCAACCCGTCTTGCAAAATGTTAATAATAAATGTTCTACTCACCTGTATGTTAGCTAACTGTTCTTGTTGCAGCCTTTGTAAGGCTTCTTGCTGCTGTTGCCTTTGTAATTCTTGAGCTTTTTGTATCTCCTACACAATACATAGCACTGTTAGTAAGTAATAACAAGCAGTGATGCATCATAGCTACACATGTGAAGTATAGACAGGAATACCTGTCATATAAGCGCAATTGAAACTGCAGAACCAATGCTAAGGTTTGGAAATGACAAAATGGCAGTTTTCTAAACAACAAAACTTTGACTTTTTCAAGATTTTTCGGAACGATCGTATGCACTATATTCAAGACTTCAAGAGCTCTTTATGCTCCACCCATTGGGGTTCATATTGCATGGCTCCTCCTTGAGTGCTTTAGTTGGAATAATACCAAGGGGGATATTGTGCAATATTTTACCAACATTTATTTTACTTGTGATAGCCATTTTGCATTTTAATAAAAAAAAAAATAGTGGAGAATCTGAACAGTGCAAAAGGAGTAACATGAAATGGACATGCTCAAGATTAGAATCAAATTGAAAAACTAATCTTAAAACCATGCAATAAAGCACTGTATAGCACTGACCTTCCTGGGAATATTTACTTCAACCGAAACACAAATATTAGCATAAAGAATTGTCAATATGTATCAATGATATTGTGTTTTCAGTTCAGTTAAAGTGATAATTCCCAAGAAGTGAATATATTGGCCTCTGGTCCTATGGCGTTTCAATGTACAGTGTACATGTATACTGCACCCACCTGGACTTGTCTCCTTTGTATTTCAAGCTGCCTTTGTTCCTCTTGTCTTCTCTGCATCTCAGCCTGTCTCTGCATCTCTTGCTTCCTTGCCATCTCCTCCTGTTGTTGCTGTTGCTGTCTCTGGAGTTCAATCCGCCTCATCTCCTCCTCTCTTTCCTGCCTGATACGCTCTTCCTCAAGCTTCCTTCTCTCTTCTTGCTTCTATAAACAGTCAATGTGTATACTTCACATGTGTAGCTATGATGCATCACTGCTTGTTATTACTTACTAATTTAAAGCCTAGAAATATCAAAACATATCCCACCACAGAGCAAGAAACACTATACACTTAGATAATCATAATATTGATAAGATGTGAATATATTCTGTTTATGAAACTGAAAGGTCTGCTGTATATTCTTGAACAAAGGACTCCAAAGGAGCTAGAATGGTGTTTACCTGTTGTTCAATGAGGTGTTGTCTCTCAGCCTCTTGTCTCTGGGCCTCCTCTAATCTCCTTCTCTCCTCTTCTTGTCTTCTTGCATTCTCTTGCCTCTCTTCCTCTTCCTGCACATACAACACATTATGATGGATTTATATTTCATTCTAATTGCAAGTCTCAGCATTACTAGAGAATCTAACTTTCCCATCTTGATACCATGTAAACTTAGGCGGACATGATATGTACTAAATCTCTTTTATTTCAATTTTTGATGATGGGCGATCATATCTGTGCCACATTTTGAATGTTGACTAGTTTTAGGTTTAACTGAGGTTCGGCAAAATCACTTGTTTCTAAAATATTTTAGAAATTTGAAGATTTACCTTTTGAGCTTTGTCTCTTTCAAGTCTTCTCATTTCTTCAGTATTTTGTGACTTGGTTGGATTCAGATCCCAGACACTGTTAGGTTGTGACCATGCCGCTCCTGGAGATCATGGCATAATACATTCACAATATTTCAATATTATAACACTTTAAAATGCCTTAAACTTCACACTAATTAAATAGAGTAAACCACAGCTGTTTTTGTAATCTAATCCTCAGTCAAGATTTAACATGATTTATATTTTTTCTTTAACAATTGTTTATTCTAAGTCACTCACTGATTGTCGCCTTGAATGCCCAATAGTAAACATACAGACAACTTTCATAGAGAAGAAGAGAAGTCAGAAGAGTACCACCATGAGTTACATAGAGGGTGTACTAGATATAGTATAAAGAGCCTAACCTGATGTTGGTGGGTTCTGCCAGTTGTTTGCATTGTTTTCCTCCAAAGAGGGTTGGGACAGGGAGCGCTGGAATGCAGGGTGGTCAGGATCTGCAGGCTGAGACACTGACCTCTGGAGGCCTGGGTGATCAACAGATCTGAAACACATACATTGCAAATAACACATTACACATTACAATGCAAAAAGATGCAAACAAAAAGTAAAACTGGTTATTTCAAAGATCTCTCGTGGTAATGCAAACAAGGCACTGACATGTTAAATGTCACCACCTGCCATTTGTTACAGATGCTGAACACCAACTGCCGAATGCCAACAACCAAATGCTGACAATCAACCGCCAAACACAATCCACAAAAAGTAGGAGACTATAACAATATGTCCCCATTTCTATTGGTGACATAATCAAATGACAGTATGAACTATTATGTTGAGCGCTAAATCCATGAATAAACTGTTATTATTGTAACACACAGTAGAACCCACCTTGGTGAGACTTTTTGTGGCTGTGGTTTACCCGTATTATTCTGAGGAGTTTGCTGGGCTGCCTGTGGTAGCAGACCTGTCTGCTGTTTCAGGAGCAACTGCAGAGCCAGCTGCTGTTGTTGCTGAGGGTTCAGCTTGGCAAACGCCTCCTGTTGGCCCAACTGTTGAAGTAATGCCTGCATCTGGAGTTGCCTGTAAGTACACAAGAAAACTAGGCATTAACATCCAAAATGTCACCTCTTGCCATTTGCTACCGACACCAACTTACATAATAATAATTATAAAATTTAAGGGAAAATATACATACAAATATTGACTGTATCTGGTTGTCCAGCAGTACAGGATCCTATCAAGCTCCTCTTTGATTTATAGAAATGACTGATGTGCAACTATATATGGTTGGTTGATGGGAGTTTCATGGGAGGAAATTACATCAAACAACACTAAGTCCATGTCACAATAATTGATGTTGTATGCCATTGGATACATATTGATTCGATATACTGTTACAGTAATCTCATACAATACAGTGCAAATAAGTTCATGTATCTGTACAGGTATATCAATATCAGAGATTAGGAAGAGCCTTTAACCCAACTGTATCTGCATTGCATATTGCTTTTTTGCTGTGTATACAAACATTGAATCAATAATTATTTGTCAAGCACCTTTAAATCACACATGTACTCCGACAAAACAAAAGGAGTATTCTTCATTAGTCTAGAATAACAATGTTCACAATGACATCTAAATTATCATTAGTCCGTACTGTGCATGCATATGTACATGTATATCAAGATTGAAAATCTGCATGTAGCATATTGCCATGTATACAAATAAACAATGAAAGGTCAGTATAACATTGTATGTCATGTCATTCATTACAGCTGACAAAGTGGAAGTAATATACATCGCCTGATCGATTTGTGCAGACCCAGGCGATGTCAGACAGTGTCACTCATTGCACAGTGTCAAGTAGGCAAAATAGATATGTTTTTCATAATTTGATGCAAATGAAGTCGTGAAACCTGTAAAATTGAACACCTCTAGAAGTGGAACACCTCTGCTAGTGGAACACCTCTGCTAGTGGAACACTTTTCAGGGTCCCAAGTCCAACTGACTTAATGACACCTCCAAAGTGCAACACTTTTAAGAGGTACCAAAGGTGTTCCAATGTTTAACTGTACAGGAATAGAAAGGGAGTTTTTACCCCTCTCTGTTACATTTTAATGTGTTTTGAATTAGTCTGAACTGATTACCCAGTAGCGTTTTATATGACACCCATTTTGAGAGGTGGAAAAAGTCATTCACCTGTCTGTATTTTTTAAAACATGCTAGTGCATTGCAGGACAACACAATCTACAAGCGACAAACCAGAATATTGATCCACCTTTCCAATGAATTTATAAATCACTTGTGAACATTATACAGACTGAACGTGCAGAATATATTGTACAGATAACACAAGCTTTGGGGAAGGTATGGTGTAGGTGTATATATTCAAATATTCAAACATACTTTCGGAATGTACATCCAATGGTAGAACTCTATCTGGTATTTATAAATGAAAGGGGAATCATATAAAGCAAAAAGTTTTTTTTGAAGTACCTACCTCATTAGGGCTTGTTGTTGTATGAGCTGCTGTTGCATGAGATATTGTTGCTGCAGGGCCCTCACTTGGTCTGGAGTGACAGCTGAGGGTGTGGGGCCACTGGGGGCAGCCACAGATGTTGGGGCGGTCTGTTGCTGGGGTTGTTGTTGTTGCTGCTGCACCGGGTCGGGTTGGTCCTTACTGTCAGCCTCAGTATTAGGATTATTCTAAAATAAAAATGTAAAAGATCTTTAAAGTTCAGATTTTATCATGATTGATTAAATCAAAAAATGACGAAGGGAATTCAAAAATAAACAAACCTTTTTTGAAAAATTTATGTCTCGCTACAGATACTGTAATGCAGGCTATAATGCTCCCGTGACTAGCATAATTTACAAGTGTGCACAGATACAGAGAAGAAAATTTGATCTACAGAATTTGTTCTTGCACCCTTAGGTGCTATGATAATGTGATCAGTGTTTATTATTTGTTGGAGATATTAAAAGGCTACTCACAAGTAAAGGTGGAGGTGGCGGACCAGGAAGGAAGGGTACTCGATTCCAACGTTTTATAAGTTCCCCTTAAACACAAAAGACGAAACTGCTACAGAATACAACATACATGTTACATATTTGAATGTATATATTTCTAGAAGGCATGCAACTTGAAATATAGGTTTTTAAGAAAATCACAAGTGACAACTGAAATGTCCATTTGAGCAATTACAACATGATTGCGCTTCCACTGTTGTACAAACGTTTAAAATAGGATTATAAAATTAAAACAAATGAAGTCAAAGATTTTCTTCTATATGTCTAGCATTTGTGTATAATTAGGTGACAAACATATTCCCTTGGAGATCAGACATCTATACAATTGGTAAGGTAGACATTTATCTTACCTAGTGGTTGGAATCGTTCATCACAGCCTCGTTTGATTAGCAGATTCATTGTAAAATAACCCGCACTAAACCATTCAGCCATCTCATCACTGGTGAATGGTCCTAAAATATGACAATTAAATAAATATGTATGCATCATTGTAATTATCTTCAAGGAGTGGAGCTCATGAAAGTTTGTTGCTTGATTTGATATTATTTGTTACATAAAAGGTGTTCTCGGCAATACTGAGTAGTATTACATACATAGCGAAGCATTTGTATGGAAGTCAATGGGAAAGTAAGCAGGCTGGGCTATATCCACAGAGGTTATGTCACTATGACGTTCTTGCCCAAATATAGAGCCTCCCAAGATCGGCCTATATTGGGAGGGGGAGAACTCAGGCATACTTCACATCATAGTGACATATTTTTCACATCATAGTGACATATTTTTCACATCATCACGCCCGGTGATCGTGAAAATGGGACGGAAGGGGGGGAGCAAGCAATTTCTGGTAGAAAAATGAACAAATCTGCAAAAATTATTTTTTCAAGAAAAGGTTTATGATTTAATTGCTAAACGAATAGGCGCACGGTATGGTAAAATATGTCACGTATTCTACGAATTTTTTTTAGCCGATTCTATTCTTAGGTATAAGATCTATTAAAAAAGGCGCAACGCCGCCAACGTGCAAAAGTCAATGTTTTTGCTTTAAATCAAGCATCAACGGTCTACACAACCTGCAATAAATATTTGTAAGTGACATTATCATTATAAAATTAATGACCTTAATGACATTACAAAATACGTTTCCATATGTTGTATAAAAAATAATCGAAAATAATTAAAATGGGACGGAGGGGGGAGGGGACGGAGGGGGAGCAATATGTCTATAAGTTATGATATGAGATGTTACTTGATACTTTATATCCAGATTTTCCCATTATCTCCTCAATTACAAAGGGTCAGGAATTGATAACATGTTGTACTTGTTAGGTTTAGTTAGAGGGGTCAAATTAAGGTTGGCAAAATATTCCAGGAGACTGTTTATCTATAAATGTTTACCTGTCTTAATGTTTTTACTTGCTGATTTGTAGGCATATCATACACAGCACATCACACTTTGGACATGTAAGTTTCAGCGAAAATGTAAGTTATTCACAGCGAAGTAACAATCTACTTGATATTAATTATGCGATATATTTTAATTATGCAGAATTGAATAAATACAAGAAGCTCACGCGTCTCCAACTCACGACCTGATGGTTATGACGTCTTTGTCTAGCTGAGATTCTGGCGCTGTAGACTGCTCGGCCAACTGGCAATGCCAAAAAAAACATGTTCCATCAGCCGATCTGACTAGAGAATTTACACTTAATAGTCTGCTAGGAAGGTTCCCAGTCAATGTGCCACATTCATGCCATGGGTGCAACCCCTATTACGCCAAAGAAGCGTAACAAGTCATTTTTTGAAAATGAAATAAAAATTTGTTAATTATTTGAAAATTGTTTTGTGTGCTTATTAAATCAGTAAGCCATATCTCATCCGGTTTCCATTGGGACAGGCTCAAATCGTTCTGATATCAATGTTTTTGCATGCTCAAGATTCTCTATTTTGAAGAAATACAAATGCATTGTCAATGTATGTTAATAATTTCACTGTCCACATAATTTTAAATCTAAGCAATATAGTTTCTATATGCATGGATTGTCGCTTGGTGCTATGGTCTCTCATCATGTCGTATAGACATTTTGCTCCCCCCCTCCGTCCCCTCCCCCCTCCGTCCCATTTTAATTATTTTCGATTATTTTTTATACAACGTATGGAAACGTATATTGTAAAGTCATTAATTTTATGATGATAATGTCACTTACAAATATTTATTGCAGGTTGTGTAGACCGTTCCATTTTCACGATCACCGGGCGTGATCATAGTGACATAACCTCTAAAGTCTAAATGCATGAATGTAACACATATTACCAGTGCGCGAAATAGACGTCCGACATCGGCCATTGGCCTGACAAAATTATAGATGGCTTGTTTTGATAAAAACACCCAGACATTTTGGCCTGCCAGACATTTGTGGCATTCGTTAGATTGCCCATGAATAGAACCCACATTTCAGTCCGGAAATCCTCTGAATTCCCCGCGATTTCGGCTTATTCCATGACTTTTGTTGAAGATTTAAAAAATTTCAAATATTTTTGTTTTCATACTGAAGCCCAAGATATAACGTGACTTTTGATTGGCTGTTGTTGTTTGTTGAAATTACGGTGATTTTGATTGGCTATGGATGACTCATTTCTTCATCGTCGTTCGCAAATCGAGTGCATTATCAGTATGCCGGATGTAGAAAAGAAATTGAAAAATCGAGCCGGCATCTAAGTCCAAAAAGTCGGCAGTTTGGAAGTATTTTGGGACTCCGATATCACAAGGTAAACGAATTGGTGATAGTTCACCATGCAGACTATGTGAAATGCCGATCACATTCACGGCAGATGCTTTATATTCGATTTTAATTGACGTATTTCTGAATATGATTTTGAAAAGTGAAACTGAAAGTGAAACTGTCATCATCAGACATTGTATCATTTTTAATGTTCTGTCCCGTCCTGTCTCGAAAGTATCGTGTCCCGAGACCATTTGTACCATTCCGTACCGTACCGAAATTTATTTGGACCGTGACACCTCTAATATATACCTTGAATTTTAGTCTGTTAGTGGAGTCTGTGTACATAGTATGTGTTTTTGAATACCTTGAAGCTTCTGAGAGCAATTCTAAACCGACCAAAATCAGTACAATTTAGTTTGATCAATATGTACATGTTCCTCATGTTTTTGTAAGGTGAATCTAGGGGGGAATCAACACACCCAGGCTGTTGGTTAAGTCATCAAGTACAGTATAGTGAATGATACATGACATGCAATGGAATTAGTTTTACTTTGTTAATATTGTACTAAACTAAATCTCATTTTAGAGTGGTTGTGGAGAAATATGGAAAATGAAATTTTTGGCCAGAGAAGTAAGAAACAGGCTGCAAAAAATTGGCCTGAGAAAAAATGATATGGCTGGTTAAAATCTGGCTGGCCTGCCAAAATGTCTAGGTTAAAAAAATCCTTATTTCACGCACTGATTACATATCCAAATACCTTGGAGATCTTGTTGAGGGTCCTTATAGAACCATTTCTTAGCATCTTCATGGGCTAAAGGCACTGCTCCATTCTCTATCTGTGCTTTTTTATCTGATTTCTCGTCCTCCTGAAAATGGACATTTAGTTAGTAAAATACTTCAAAATTGTACATTCAATGATGTAACTAACCGTTTTAATTAGGGCCTTTCTTTATGGCCATGTTACAAACGTATAATAAAATAAAAAATACCTCTGCTGTCCAAGTGGCTACAAGATTCTCAGCTGCCTCTTCGAGATGATGGAAATCAGCCTCAGACATTGATATATTCTGATCCACATCATCATTAGCCCCTCCATCCTTACTAATCCCTTCTCCTGGCACAATACCATTTGACTTAGAAGATTCATTGACAACAGGTTGGACATCTTGAGGAGCAACCCTATCACATGTTTCAGTGTCCACAGATTTTTCCTCAATTTTATTTTGCACCTTTTTATTTGTAGTCTTTTTAGTTTTACCCACTGGTTCCTTATCTTTATTTATATTGTCTTTGGCTATCTCAGGGGTGGGGGATACAGAGATTTTCTCTTGCTTGGCAATGTCAGATTTACTAACTGGTTTCTTAAGTTTATCAGTTTTGGTTGGACCAGAGTTTTTATTTTTATTGTTTTTGTTAGTAGATTCCTCTTGTTGTTGTTGCTGCTGTTCCTCTTTGTCTTTCTCTGGTGATTTAGATACAGACTGAAAGTGAACAAGACACACAGTGATAAATATCGCACTTTGAAGAGCAAACTGGCCACCATGCAATTTACCCAGCATGGCCAAAACCTAATCAGACCTTGGCACTAGTCTGCTCTTGCATCTGTAAACATTTCAAGTTGACAAGGTTAGCGGTTTTCCTGCAATTTTGATGACAAGAATTTATTTGTAGTCTTGAACTTTGGGAAAATTTAGATAACATTGTTTGTGACCTAATTTGATGACCTTCGACCTCGAAAATTTCACTTTTTCAGACCTCAGTAGGTCTTTTGTAATTAAGCTGACCTAAATTTAAATCCAAAATATCAATTTAGAAAATCAAATTTTTGACCTTTTCAAGGTCACTGAAGGTGAACGAAAGGTCAAATCTGAAATCTAAGGTCAGATTTGAACTTCTGAGAACTTGTAGATGTTTTTAAAAAAAAATTTGGTCAATTTGGAGCAAGTTGAAAAATTCAAAATGGCCGCCAAATTGAAAAATTCAAAATGGCCACCATGTAATTCAGCCAGCATACCAAAAACCTAATCAGATCTTGGCAATAGTCTGCTCTTGCATCTGTAAAAATTTCAAGTTGAACGGATAAGTGGTTTTCCTGGAATTTTGATGACAAGATTTTTTGAAAAATTCAAAATGGCCGCCACGTAGTTTACCCAGCATGCCCTAAACCTAATCAGATGTTGGCACTAGTCTGCTATTCCATGTGTGAAAATTTCAAGTTGAACAGGTTAGCGGTTTTCTTGGAATTTTGATGACAAGAATTGATTTGTAGTCTCAAACTTTGAGAAACTTGGATAACATCATTTGTGACCTAGTTTAATGACCTTGACCTTCGACCTTGAAAATTTCACTTTTTCAGACCTCAGTAGGTCTTTTGTAATTAAGCTGACCTAAATTTAAATCCAAAATATCAATTTAGAAAATCAACTTTTTGACCTTTTCAAGGTCACTGAAGGTGAATGAAAGGTCAAATCTGTGACCTAGTTTAATGACCTTGACCTTCGACCTTGAAAATTTCACTTTTTCAGACCTCAGTTGGTGTTTTGTAATAAAGCTGACCTAAATTTAAATCCAAAATATAAATTTAGACAAGAACACAAATGTGTACAAAATGTCCCCACCAATGGGTGATCCCATCAAATGGTTATCCTGAAAATGAGTAGACAAGACTTTACCAACACAATTTTAATTGATCCACGACACACAGTTAACTAGAAAACATGTAAACAAGACTTTACAGACAAGATTTTAGGATGGAAAATCCAAAATGGCTGCCTTGACATTTACCCAGAATGTCAAAAAACTAATCTGTTCCTAGATTTTCATACTAAGAATCATCCCTGAAAATATGACATTGATCTACCAAATGGTTCACCTGAAAACGCGTAGACAAGACTTTACAGACAAGATTTTAGGACAGAAAATCCAAAATGGCTGCCATGACATTTACACAGAATGCCAAAAAACTAATCAGATGTAGATTTTCACACTAAGAATCATCCCTGAAAATTTGAAATTGATCTACCAAACGGTTCACCTAAAAACGCGTAGACAAGACTTTACAGGCAAGATTTTAAGACGGAAAATCCAAAATGGCTGCCTTGACATTTATCCAGAATGCCAAAAAACTAATCAGATCTAGATTTTCATACTAAGAATCATCCCTAAAAATTTAAAATTGATCTACAGAACAGTTCACCTGGAAATGCATAGACAAGACTTTACAGACAAGATTTTAGGACAGAAAATCCAAAATGGCTGCCTTGACATTTGCCCAGAATGCCAAAAAACTAATCAGTTCTACATTTTCATACTAAGAATCATCTCTGAAAATTTGAAATTGATCTACCAAACGGTTCACCTGAAAACACGTAGACAAGACTTTACAGACACGATTTTAGGACGGAAAATCCAAAATGGCTGCCTTGACATTTACCCAGAATGCCAAAAAACAAATCAGATCTAGATTTTTATACTAAGAATCATCCCTGAAAATTTGAAATTGATCCACCAAACGGTTCACCTGAAAACACGTAGACAAGACTTCACAGACAAGATTTTAGGACTGAAAAATCCAAAATGGCCGACAATAAAAAAGTGATTATGTGTTTTTGCTGATTTCTTCTTACAAAATTATCACATATTACTACTGTTAACAATAACATAGGCTTTTACAACAAAGTAGATCTGAAATTATTTATAAAGCTACTAAATAGTTAAAGTATGAAAACTCAAAAACACCATTCAATATGATACAAAGTATTATCGTGCGCTAACTTTTCTTAAGACATTCAAAATGGCTGACATGACTGAGCTAACAGTTCCAAAACCTAATCAGATCTAGAATGAAGTGAGCTGAACAAGATGTTAAAGTTTTAAAAGCAACTGTGAAGCCGTTTTTCTTAAAGTTTGCAGACAAGGATTTTAGCATTTGACTTCAAAATGGCCGACAGGAAGTAGGTATCGAGTTAAAATTTTTTCATCCACATCTGTATGCACTCATAAGTTATCCCTGAAAATTTGAAGGTGATATCTGTAGCGGTTTTGGAGAAAACTCCCGGACGTACAGACAGACGGACGGACGTCCAGACGGACGCGCCTAGGCCGACAATATGGCCCCACACTATGTGGTGGGGACATAAAAATCAACTTTTTTGACCTTTTCAAGGTCACTAAAGGTGAACGAAAGGTCAGATTTGAACTTGTGAGAACTTGTAGATGTTTTTTTTAAAAAATGTGGTCAATTTGGAGCAAATTGAAAAATTCAAAATGGCCGCCAAATTGAAAAATTCAAAATGGCCACCATGTAATTCAGCCAGCACACCCAAAACCTAAACAGATCTTGGCAATAGTCTGCTCTTGCATCTGTAAAAATTTCAAGTTGAACGGATGAGTGGTTTTCCTGGAATTTTGATGACAAGATTTGTTGAAAAATTCAAAATGGCCACCACGTAGTTTACCCAGCATGCCCTTAACCTAATCAGATCTTGGTACTAGTCTGCTCTTGCATCTGTAAAAATTTCAAGTTGAACAGGTAAGCAGTTATCCTGGAAATTTGATGACAAGATTTGGTTTATGTGCCGCCCGCACGCCCGCCCGCCCAACAGCACAAGACGACGATAATATAGCACTTTTTCAAAGTGCGATAAAAATTAACTTATAAAAAACACAACACACCCACAATAGTTTTATCTTATAGCTTATTGGATATGAAATTTATGAACCATTTGCTCTAAATAGTCTGATCAATTTTGTAGGGTTTCCAACTGTACTATCATATGTATAGTATACTCATTATACAACTCCAAAGCGTGTGCCCATTTGATGAGTTATCACACCCTTTGAATGAAAACAAGATTTAATTTTGCAGTTAACTCTTAGTTTAAAACTCAGATGGTGGGAACATTTACGAAATATTTATAGATGAACTAAATACTTTTTCTTTGTTTTCCTTGTTAACCTCCTTGGAATCATGATTGGCCTCTGGAGGCTGCTTGGATTGTAGTTTAATACCCGCTTTCGATTTACCACCCTCATCATTGGGTTTAGTCTTTTTCTCCTTCGCTTCTAGCTCCTGGAATATAACATGAATACTGATTCATTAACGACATATAACATGAATATGGATTCATAAACGACATATAACATGAATACTGATTCATTAACAACAGGTTCAGAGAAGAGTATTACCCGAAGATTGTAAATTCCAGACATTGAGTAAATATTTCTTTCTTTAACAGTACCAACATAATTTATTGGTTAAATACCAGGCAATATCATTCTGTGTTATGATTATTTTCTAAAAGATATCAATCAAAGTATAGCATAGTTTCTTATCAAGATACACTTGAATTCTTTTTTAAAACTGGCGAATTCAAACATATTGACAACATATAGCCTTCACACTTTTATTTTCATACATAGTAATATTTAAGGTGATGCTCATACGAATATTATGAGAAAGGCCAGTGACTCTTATCTAAAATAACAGTTAAATTCACTCTATCCAAAATTACAGTGAGTCAAAGGCCACATTGGTATCAAACCAACCAAGATTCACCTACCTCAAGTGACATGAAGGCCCCACTAGCATCAAAGCCACCAAGATTGTCCATATCACCACCATCATCCATACTCCATTCTGGAAGATCCTCTCCACCTAAAAACATCCATACATGACTAAATAATGAATTGTGTAAAGGTCTGTGTGTTAGTAGCATAAATGGGCATTTTGAACATCAGCCAATTCCAAAAATTCATATAAAACTTTTTTTACCTACCAATGATTTAGTGCACAAAGATAAGCTTGGTATACACAAAACATACAATGAAGTGAATAAATAAGATACATAGAAAGTGCAAGGTTATAATGTGACATGTACCGTCATCATTAGTACCAGGATAGGACTCACTACGTCTGAACCCTCGATCTCCATAACTATTGTTCCGCGTACGTTCAAAGCCACGTGGACGTTCATAATCTGCATCGCCCCTGTCTCTGTCTCTCCAACTGGTACCCCCTCCTCGACCTTCAAGTAATGAACAAATAGAATAGAAAAAATGTAATTGTATATGTAATTGAATAAGGTCATTTTTCATTATAGTACACGTCATAGGGTGACCAAAAATGGAGCCCTCTAATTTTGGAATGTCTTTCTCTCTACTTTAGTATTTTCTGAAATAAGCATTTCTGTTTTTGTCTTTTTTAGTCAATTTTAGATCGATGACATGTTCTATTTCAACACTTTCTTGGAATGAATTTGTCTAGCAATAATGATAAATTAACAGGCTTATTTGATACAAAATGACAAATAATTTCTGATATTCCCTTCTGAATGATTTTGTGAGAGAACATGCATTGACATATACACATCTACACAAAAAAATCTACCATAATTGTGGATATTGGTCTAAAATTCTAACCTGTAATATATTGTTTAAGGATGGAGACAAAATGTCAATATTTTTGCTTACCCCATGATCTTTCATGCCTAGTTCCACCAGCTCTCCTCCAACTATCACCATCTTCCTCAGCATCCCGAGGATCACGGGGGTCTCGTATGTCCCTTGGGTCACGCGGTGACTCGCGTTCACTCAGAGTCTTAGCATCTCGCCAATTACTGCTACTCATTGACCGTGAAAATTCTCTACGTGGTGATTCATCAGGATCGTCAAATGTCCTTGGTGTAAACCCAGGCCTTCTAAATGCAAACATATAGTACCATCAAAATAAATAATTGAATCTTAGTGATTACCCCTTCTCACCCTCAATCGGTCACTCTCCTGACACTCATGTATATATCTAATAATTCAACTACAGTACATCAATTTGTCATTACTTTACACCGCAATGATTCAAAATATGAATGATATTTGCAGTCAGAATTCTTTCATAAAATTATATCTTACGTACCCATCTTCCCAACTCTCACTCCTGTTATGTGCTCTGCCTCTACCGTAAGTATCGTAACCTGCCCCATCTTCAAATGATGTCCCTCTCTGGAAGTACCCCTCCCCTCTGCCGCGACCTAACAAATATACAACAGCAATACTAAATACCAATAAATACCAACAACTATGAAATTAATGAAAGGTTCATTATTACTTTAGGATTTAAGTCAGGATTTAAGTTATTTGCTTACAACTTACAAAAGAAGTTATAATTTGCTGAATGCATTGGTATTGGCAGTAAAACTTTGGTAAGGGAACAGATTGCTATCATAAATCACAAATATATTAACCATACCTCTCCCTCGCCCTCTATCAGATGGGCCCCCACCCCTGCCCCCACGGACACCAGGAGGGGGGCCTCCTCGGCCCATCAACCTTAATACTGCACTACTGTTCACTGACTGAGACATTAACCTCTGAAAACAAACACATATGAAACTGACTCATGTTAAAATGTTGATGTGTGACTATTCTAAATAAGACAGGGCACTAACATGGAAAATGTCACCACCTGTCATTTGTTACATACACTGCTGGGCATCAACCGGTATATTGAGACCATAACAATATGTCACAAATTTTGACGATGATACCATAACAATTTATTATCAAAGAAGATTTATTTTGAAAATGCAATAATTTATGATAAAAATCCAACATACATTTTCTTCCTCTGTAAGTGGTATTACTGCCAAAAGTGGCTGTGACTGCTCCACTACAATGGAGGGATGTTTGGCTAGTTCTTCTGGGACTTCTTTCTTGGGAACATACAGAGCTAACATCTCTTCCCGTCCATACCGATAATCTGCTAGCTTGTATTTAGTGAAGCCCGCAGGAGAAGGGGGAGGAGATTTAACATTGTTTCCATCTGATAAGGCTCTGAGCCTGCAACATTTAAAGGAACACAAGAACTTCATTATTGGTAATATGACTTATTACACACATGCATTAGCAAAATTAACACCACCTCAGAATAGCTTGCAATATGGTATACACTGATTAAACTCATGTCGAGTAGAGGTATTAATTATTACAGAAAAGTGAAACTGGTTGAGAATTAGTCATGACAAATTGTGGTACTGATAGATAGTATACACACTTTCTTCTCTCTGTAGGAAGACCATTTGAGGAAAAATGCGGAAAGACTTGATATAATTATGGATATAACACTAACTTTCCTTAATAAAGTAATTATTTCCAGAAAGTTTTCATCAATTCATACTAGGAAATGAAAAATATCTTCATGAATAGTTTAACTTACCATTCTGGTCCAAAGTTCAAGTCTGTCATTTTTCCTATAAAACAAAAAAAACTTACATCTTAGATTCATTGATAAATCTGAAAAAGCAACAATATGATTTTACAGTTCTCCAGTTTGCCATTTATTCCCTGTTTATACATTTACAGAATTTAATTTCCGTATCTCAATTCTTAAACAGTCAAAATAACTCCAGAGCATTGGGCCATGTTGCAGTTATGGGTCAATACGGTAGTCTTGCGTCTGGCCGTATAATAGGGCCGGGGGTGCTCTGGATGTGATGTTAATACTGATTACATTCTTAACATGTTTAGAATATATATACATGTATAACTTTTTATCAATTTATATTCTTTAATAAGAAATTGTACTCTTCAGAATTAGAGGAAATAAAAAGATACAAACATAAAATACACACACACCAAAAGGGCATACAAACCCATGAAGCCTAAGTCAAGGAAGGCAAATATGATAAATATAGACATATCAAGAATAGTAAATTTAAAATAGATTTAAAACTAAACTTTTTTTATGTGAAATAGAATTATCATTTACTTTGCAATTATAACTACTCCTCATAAGAAATTGTAGAAACAGTATTAATGTTGGGTCATTTTTCATAAGTGCACCCTGCTTTGTTTTGTTTATTTTGTGTTTTTTATCATCAAAAGACTGTACATGAAGTGAAATTGTTATGACTTGAAGCTAAATATGCTGAAAACCCCCAAATAATATGTCTGTATATCTTGGATTGCTTGCACAGTAAAATTTTAAATGTTTGGAACTACTTTGAATTAAAAAAATAAGCAATCAAAGGACCATATTGAAACAGTATATGTAAAAATAGAAACATTTATACATGTCCTAACTTTTGTATATTTTAGTTTGTTTTTTAATTTAGCTTTCATTTCTGTGGCTTCTTATATTTTGATGCTTCTCTGCCATGTTATTTATGGAAAAATTACCATGGCTGAAACTCCCTAAATTACAAAAGGCCAAAGCTTTACTGCACATTATACATAACTATCTGAAATATACAAAAGTTAGGACAAGTACATGTTTCTATTTTTATATACTGTTGCAATATAGTCATTTAATTGCTTATTTTTTAAATTCAAAATAGTTCCAAACATTTAAAATTTTACTGTAGTTTGAATAACAAATATGTGACCTATTAATGTATTTTGATGCTTCTCCGCCATGTTATTTTTGAATATATCATAGCTGAAACGTCCCAAATTACAAGAGGTCACAGTTTTAGTGCACATAAAACTAACTATCTGAAATATACGAAGTTATGTATCCAATTTGAAGTAATCCAGTCCCCTCATTACTTATTTTTAGCTTTGATATAGACAAATCACTTTTCCTGTATATATCAAACTTAAAAAATCAGCAACCAAAGGACTATAGTGCAATTTTATATCGAAAAAGAAGACATTCATATTTTTTATGCAATATTTTTGTATATATATTGGATTGTTTGTGGTTCGGCTGATAAAATATGGTGATGTTTCTCTGATATGTTATTTTCTAAAAAATATGTGCCTGAAACTCCTTGAAGTACAAGAACCCAAATAAAAGGTTTGCAACTAATTTATCTGAATTAATATAATGCATTGTATCTAAAACATGAATGTATTTTTCAAAATAATATTATATTATAGAACCACATTGCAACAATAAAGTGACAAGTAGAAACATATATGCTGCTAACCCTAACTTTTACGTATTTCAGATAGTTAGGTAGTATAGAGTAAAGCTGCAGCCTTTTGTAATTTAGGGGATTTCAGCTAATGTGGAAAAATAATAGAGGACAATATGATAGACAAACAAACAAATCAAAAAGTACAAAAGTTAGGGCAGGTGCATAAATCTCAGTATGTTTTTATTTTTCAATATAATGTTGCAATGTGGTCCTTTGACATCACTTATTTCTACATTCTTCATCTTCATATACAGTGCATACTCCTTATCACAGGCATCAGAATAGATAGTAGAGTTGTACTGAAAAATCCCCCGATCTCTACAGTTGGGGACATAAATAAATGACAGGTGGATTTGCTGAAGTGAGGATTTCCCATGTTAAAAATAAGAGAATTTACAAGAGGCCATAAATCAGTGGATGAGATTATACAAAATGTAAAATATACAAATTTTAAGGGATATGTATCTAGACAATATTGGAAATTATGGGCTTTCAGACCACCATAATTAGGAAATGGTGTTTGAAAATCGACCTGTCATTTATTTTTGTCCCCAACTGTATGAAAAATTTTCACTGCCCCAGACAGTATCCAGTTTTTCATTGAAAATATGATAAAAAGGGGGTGTGGAAATAATCATTTTGAGTTCATGTTTTAACTACACAGAGAAGCAACCTTGATTTGAAAGTGAAATCCCAACATATGCCAAATTATTGTGCAAAAAAACAAGTCAGGCACCTAATGACTTTCTTGTCATGAAACGAAAGATAAAAGAATTTTAGACAATAAGTGGCCTAACCGTCTGGAATAGTGTGACTCATGTCACATTCAGATTGAAAACATATTCCATTTGGAAAAATTGCACCGAAAAATATTTTCTCGTGGAAAAATAAAAATGCTTTACATTTATATGCGGATTTCTCCCTGAAAGTACGAGGGAATTGATGCAAAAAGTTGAGAGAATGAAACTTTATATCACAAAGGTAATTTCTGTTAGTAAGGAGATGTTTAATAAATCAAAGAAATATTAGTTTACCTCGTTTATTTGAGAGATATCTGCTTGAGAACACGAATACACAAAACCAATATGGCCGTCTTGTGTGTATCACGTGATCAAAATGCCCGGATAAAGAAAAGAAAACCATTGATTTAGATTGAATGAAGGGATGTAGCAGGACTTGTGTGGTTTTACTAGTGATACATCTAGGATATCAAACTGATAACAAGGTAGTACATTAATAATTCTATAAGATTTGATTGGCAGCCACCAAAATACGCAGAGTTTTTCACAAATACCACTAATATGAAACAAAACTTGCATCAATTTTTGTCATCTCAAAAAGTTTGAGACCTCATCCCAATGAATGAGTTACACTTTTTTAAAAAATTAACATTTTTTGCACACCCTTTATATGGGGGCCTATCACCCCATCAGGTCTTATCTAGTATAAACCTTAACATGTCATATTATAAATAGTGGCACAATAAAGCAGATCTATTCTTATTCCTCAGCCCGGGTTCTTCAGTCACATTACGTGCTGGTGTGGACTACACTCAAAGTACGAATCGACCAGCTTCCTTCCTCGGCATGCTGGTCGCTTGGGACTTTTTTGGATGTCTGGGATTCACTGTAAGTCACATTACATTCACTGTAAGTCACATTAGATACATGCTTGTGGCTTGAAATCTTGCGATTAAAAATAAGCTGGATTATAGTGATAGATAAAATTCAAATTTTGTTACAACTACCGACAACATTTGAAAAATCAACCCCACAATTATTATGGTATGCATTCTCTTAGCCTATGGTCTATAGAGCTATAGGATACCTTTGAGGCGAGCAAGTAATATTGTCCAAAAACCAATAAGTTTTGGGAAGATGGCAGCAGCAGTAGAATCCAATTAATATATAAATAAACAGAGTTGATAGGCCTGCCCTCTTTATTTAAAAATTATTTCTATCGTCCTTTAGGCAATGCAAAAACCCATGTATGGGAGACCCTGCTGGCTAGGTTCCAATGAATTTGGGCTGGAAAAATAGGGACATCTGCAACTTTTCTGCACTAAAAGGTCCTAGCAACCCGTGCAACATCTAAAAATTGGCTGATTAAATTTGGGCTCCCTTTATGGTTCCCTTGCTTGCTGGCTGGCTGATTTTGGTCAAAAAACTGTGTGGAAATTTGATATCATATCACTCATTAGATCTATTCTTACTGATCAATATATTCTAATATGTTTAGGTACATTTCAAACTAAGGTAACTCCGCATGTTCAGAAATTTTAAAGTATTTTGTATATTCAGAAAGGACAAGTCTCGGTTTGGAGAACAGTCTCCTGGGATAATAATTTTTTCATTATTTTAAGATGGCGACACTTCAACACTATGTGTGGTACAAACAACTTCGCCATCTTTCATTGACGTTGGTAAAAACTTGATATATATATAACTAGACAGATGGAAAATATTTTTTGGTAATATATAGTAAGCTCTGATGTGGCCCATTTCAGCTGTTTTTGGTGTCTAATAAAAGATAAAGTACATATCAATCCACTGGAAATATTATGAAGTCAAAAGATTAGTCTTTATTTTGCCAAAGAATTTTGAAAGTAGACCTTTAAATTTTCTTGAAAGTTCATATGCTTTAGGGATTTGTACTATCAACATTTGCTTTACTGTCAAAATTAGCTCATAGCCAAAGTAGAAGTTTATGCAAATTTTTATGCCACCACCAAAAGTGGTGACATATTGTTATGTATTTCATACCTACTGAGGTTCTAGGTACATAACGAGCGGGAATATATACTGTATCTAGCCAAGGCCCGGGCGGGATGGATACACGCTGTATCCATCCCGGTCCCGCTCCTGAATTTTTTTCACAATTTTTTCAAATTTTTTTTTGAATTTTTTTCAAATTCTTTTTTTCAAATTTTTTTTTCCCATTTTTTCCAAAAAACGTTTTCACATTCTTTTTAAAAAAAAACTTAAAAAAACACTTTATAACACCAAGAAAATTGGATATACACATATCTCCCTTGGGATAAAACCTGTATCCAAAACCTCCCAGTACATAACCCTTATGTCTCCCAAATTTTTGTGGACAACAGTTGTTTGACGGTCAGTATCTGCTGAGACTAACATTAGTCTCAGGTATCTGTAACAAATGGCAGCTATTGACATTTTGCATGTTAACGCCTTTTTTAATTTTCTTATCTTTCAGGCTCTATGTGGTGGCTTGAGAAAACTTAAAGCTTGAAGAATATTTATAAAATGAGTGAAGATGATCCAAAGTCATCAAAGGATGGGAAACCTAACAGGACATTCAATCCAAAATGTTTGTTTCTAATGATCACCATAACAACAATTGTAGTGATCATGACAATGGCTTTTATAATATTCATGGCACACATACTCATGGTAGCAGCGTTGATCCCCAAAAGAACATATAGCTCTTACTTCATGCCATACAAAATGAATTTTGATGCTTTACTAGCAAATAGGAGAGTGAACATGAAAAAATATGAATATGAGCATAGTACGAAAGGTATCGATCGGAGATTTGGACTTACTGTAGATGAGTACTATGATGTGTATGATGGCAAATGGTAAGTATCATCAATTATGACAAAGGAAATTATCCTTAGAGACATTCTAAATTGTGAATCTAGACATGCATCTTTAAACCTACAAATAAAAGAATCCAGTTTATTTTCCTCCAGTTCCTATATATTGAAATGCTGAAGTAATTTCTCTTTCAGGCCAGTGATAATAACAGATTTGGTTCCCAATTGGCCTGCCATGAATTGGAATAAAGGCTTCTTTATAAAATATTATGGTAAAACTCTTGTGACTACAAGGACAACATTAACAGTGAGTAAATAAAACTTAATGTATGTTGAATAAAGAATGGAAAAGACTGTTTAATAGCCATTTATGCAATCCAAACAAGGCATTATCATGCAAAATATCACCACCTAACATTTGTTACAGATCCCAAACTCTGAACGCTGACTGCCAAACACCGTCCACAAAAAATGTATATATATCACCACCTGTGGAAGTGACATAAAAAGCCAAATGGAATTTTTGAAGCAGTTGAGGTGCATTGCATTGCATTGCATTGTGCACATATGAACACTCTTCTCAGTTTGTATGCAACTCTAGAGGTTGAAAATACCTAAACTATGTATTTATTATGTGTTTTACCTTTTAACCTTTTAAGAGGACCATATCATTTTTATGTCACCACCACAAGTGGTGACATATAGTCTCCAGCTTTGCTGTGGATGGTGTTCGGTGTTTGGCAGTCAGTGTTCATCATCTGTAACAACTGGGAGGTGGTGACATTTTGCATGTTTATGCTTTGTTAGTTTTAGTGAAGCATATATAGTACAAAATGTGTTTAGATCTAGGGTAGAATAATTATTAAACATTGTCTTAAATTTTTCAAGGGAAAACTAAAAGATGCCAGTGGTACAGCAATAGAGTTAGAGAACTATCTTGCCCACTCTCACGAAGGCACAGATGAAAGTTGGAGTTATTTTGAAGATGAGCTGTTCTTGTATATGCGTCCAGACCTTCTAAAAGACATTATATCACCTGTAAGTTGTTTTGTTTTCTTCAAGAAATATTTTGATGTATACACTGTGCAGTGTTTAACTTTACAACCAGAGTTTATGAAATATTTATACGATGAGTTGAAATGAATAAGTATATACATGTAATGGGATTGTTAGTCACATTAATTATCAGTATTGTACTAATAGGAATCTCTCAAAAAATTTGGGTTTGTTGGGATTTTATTATTTGTGGAATTGGTATTTTCTTAGTTTTTTACTGACAGATAACAATTCATCAATCAGAGGAAATCTGCAATATGTAAATTCTTGCTTCAGCACCAAATCTCTTCCTAACACAGCACAAGGGTTCGATGCAAGACTTTCTTTCTGATAGATCAGAATTCATCAATCTGAGGAACATCTGTAACATGTTAATCCTTGCTTCGGCACCAAATCTCTCCCCAACACAGCACAAGGGTTTGATGCTAGACTATCTTTCTAGTGACTAGCTCTGAATACTTACCCCGTCATATTTCTTGATTTAGGTTTATCTGAAGGATGATCTCTTCATGTTATTCCCAGAGGTTCTACGTCCATATAATGCTATGTTACTATGGGGTAGTCCATATTCCCGATCCACCCTTCACATGGATCCTTACAACTGGACTGGTACCAATGCAGTATTAAAGGGACAGAAAAATTGGAAGGTATGTACAGGGTTAACTAATGAAGAGGGTTTGAAGTCAGACAAAAATTACTCACAAAATTTAAAATTTTTGTAATGGAAAAATTACTAAGTGGTCCACAAGAATTGTTGCTCAGAACTATATTTCCATATGTACAAGCTATTCAATATTTGTTATTACAAAAAATCTAAAGGGATAAAATCAAAATACTGTACCTTGCACTTTTGTCATGAAAAAGTATTTCTTGAGCCATATTATTCAGGAATCATAATTTCACTTAAAAATGATTATCACAAGAGCACAAAAAATATATACCATGTGAGCCCAGCACCAATGGTACTATTTTATGATTCCAGAGAGTAAAATAATCAGCCAGAAATTTAACATCCAAAATTGGATTTTTTGTCATACAATGGAAATTGTTTATTCAAACACCTCTCTAATATGAACACCTCCTAATGTGAACATTTTTTCTGGGTCCAAAATTTGTCCCATAGACTCATATCTAACAAAATCAAAATGTGAACACCTGCTAATGGGAACACTTGGCTGGTGGTATTACGAGGTTTATTGTATCATGTCTCAACCACATTGTTTGGGGCCATATTGTTGGCCCAGGTGTTCGTCCACCCATCCGTCCATACGTATATGTATGTCCAGTAGTTTTCTCCAAAACGGCTACAGATATCACCTTCAAATTTTCAGGGATAATCTATGAGTCTGCCCTGTCAACCCTCACACATTAGGCGTGATTGTCACGCATTTGCTGGAAAAATAGAAATCACGCATCAATTTAGCGTGGATGATCAAGTATCACGCAAATCACGCATTTAGTTGATATTTTTAAAAAATCGTCTTTTGTGAAATGCCGACCAGAAAATACCGAACAGCGAAAAAAAGCAAACGCATTCCATTCAGTCATTGCATGCGACTGCTGCTTATAGCCTTATTTTGTACAAAATATGTGTATATATCACGCATTTGTTTCGAAAATATATAAATTATTTACACCTTCAACATCTTGTTCAACTCACTTCATTCTATATCTGAACAGGTTTTCAAATTAACAGGGATGATTCACAGTATGAAAATTATCTAGAACATTCTGGAATTCTGGAATCCAGCATTCTGGAATTCTGGGTGAATGTCAAGGAAGCCATTTTGGATTATCCGTCCTAAAATCTTGTCTGTAATTGTTTTCAATGTTCAGATGATTAGACAGTCCTACTTTATTTGCCGTTAAGAGTATCAGAATGAAAATGTATTTTTCTGGCTACTAGAGGGAACTATGCAACTTTTTCTTGCAGCATCAAAAACAATAGTTACATGACGACTATCTACCCCCTTGATTTAATTAATTTAAACAATCGATGCACCCAGTAACATACTGACAGAAATGTATTTATAATTAAAAAATGTAAAATCATTTAATTGTCAGTATTATTGTTTAATCAATAATCATTTCTAATGTTGCATGAATCCTGGCATTTAATTCTACAGCTAATGTATGTCATATTTTCACTATTTCACAAATTGCGTAATTTTGGTCTACCAGGTTTACCAGACCCCCTCTTATCTTTCGTTTGGAAAGATTAAGACAAAGGGGGCACGATGGAACTGCATGTCATTGTTGAGTCTCATTGTTATGCCATATCCAAAGGTTTCCTGTCAAACCAAATATATTCCATAGCTTGCCGAAGAAGAGACTCTGACGGCAAATCTGGAATTTTTTCTGGACTGTCAGGAACAGTCAAAAGACGTTGCCATACATGAATAGAGTAATTATTCTCCCAGACATATTTTATTCTTCTCTTGTCCATGTAAACACTTGGTTTTGGTTTTATCAGGGTTTGCGACTCTATGTGCACAAGGTGCGGATATATTGTGAGTAGCATCCTAGGAATGTGGATTGAATAGTATCCCCATAGACGGATGTTATTTCTGATGTCAGACTTACCAAATGTTTTATATGTCCTGTATGCCTCTATCCAAAGATTGAAAAGAATGGATTCCTTTTTTGCGATAATGGCGCCATTTGAGAGACCATCACCATGGAGACCTATACCTTGAGTGTGATCGTAGTGTCGAAGGGGTTCAATGCTTTTCAATGCTAAGATGTCATTGTCTATGTATATTCCTCCATGCTCTGAAATAATATGAAAATACATGATTTGGGGTGTCAGGCTGAAACATTCTCTTGTTTGAAAGATTGACGAACATTTAGAATGGAACCGTGGATTCTGGTCACTCTTCTCATATTTTGTGTAATTTTTCTAATATAACAGTCCTCCACCTACATGATGCAGCATGAGCAGACTTGAAAATCCAGAGGGGGAGATGCAGATTTTGGGCCCTAAAATATTTTTTGGGGGGCACCAAAGGAGGAGGGGCCCTGGTCCCCCTCCCTTCCATATCCGCCACGGATCTCTGTAATATAACAACATTTATCCTATGCCAAGTTGAGTTTTAGGGAGATAAGTTGGTAAGATATATCCCGTATCCTGATTTTGAGGTTGCCATATCCAGAACCTCCATATCTCCCGCCATATCTCCCGCTTCAGTGCATATCTTCCTGCTTCGGTGCATATCTTCCCGCTTCCAGTAATTTCACTGAAAACTCTACTTGGTATAGGATAAAGCAGTTATGTACGGTCGGTTTGGATATTGGGTTCATCCCTCGTGAGATATGCACATCTACCTTCGGTCCCTACGGTCCCTCAGGTAGATATGCATATCTCCCTCTGGATAAAACCCATATCCAAAACCTCCCAGTACATAACCCTTATGTATATTGTTAAATACAAACCTTGTAATACATGGATGCGCAGAAAGTCAGACATGTGTTCTACACGTCGTGGTACAAAACCAAAAATTGTGAGTTCTGTCATGTTATGCTCAACTATTTGTATTCCACTAACATTTTTTTGTACGTAATCCCACCAAATCCCTCTTGGATAGTGTTTTTGAAAAACATGAACAAGAATCTTGTCTGCCTTCCAGAATTTGTGAACACTAATATAACTAACAGCATTTAAAAATTTGAATTCAAAATTATTTTCCATGTCTAACCAAACATAATGTACAATATTTGGCACCAGATCTGTTTGTTGATTTGCATTGAATGCATCATTTCTACTTTCTTGACTGTTTAAATCAGCTTGTTTTGTATCAATCTCATCAAGACGTTTTATACTGTTTTGATCTAGTCCAAAATGAGTTGTTTTTGTCTGTATCCCTTTAGATAAATTTGCATCCCTGTTTGTCATAATTTTATTCTTTATCTCGTTCACTTCCTCATGGTTGAGTAATGAGAATAAAGTGATGTATAAAGCAGTAGATATTAAGCTTGCAGAAATCCATTTCATTTGCCACATTGTAACTGCACATACAGTGTAGCTTTTATTGAAACATCTATTAAGTACCAGATTGGATCTATATATTATGGTCTGGTTTAATTATTTGCAGTACCTGCATATAGGGTTGTTTTATGGTAGATTTAATAAATGTAGTTTTTCTCAAAGATTTTTTTTATCCCACCGAACAAAGTTTGTGGGGATAAAAAGAAACAATCCATCCGTCTGTCCATCCGTCCGATCGTTCATTTGTCTGTCTGTCCAGGTGATAACTCCAAAACTGATTGACAGATTTGATTCAAACTTTATAGGCCTATATGCGTTATGGGTATAGGACCTCATCCCTGTAAGAAATTTTCAATATGGCCACTCAATTTAAAATGGCCACCATTTTTCGTAAAAAACTTAATCTTTTATAACTCAAATACCAGTGGATGGATTTGGTTCAAATTTTATATTTTGATACTTAGGGATATAAGAGCTCTGCTTGAGAAGGAATTTTCAAGATGGCAGCTGAATTCCAAAATGTCCACCATTTTTCGTAAAAGAACATTATCTTTGATAACTCAAATACGTATTTTGTTCAAATTGTATATGCTGATGCTCAGAAATAAATGAGCTATGCTGAAGAAGGGATTTTCAAGATGGCCGCTATTTATCAAAATGGCTGCCATTTGTCGTTAAAAATGTAATCTTTGATAAGCCAAATACCAGTTGAGGGATTTACAGGCCTGTCAACTGTCCCGCAATTTGCGTATTTGTCACGCATTTGCTGAAGAATTTGAAGTCACGCCAGTTTTTTTTGCGTGACAGAAAATGTCACGCAAATACGCATTTTACCTGGTAATTGTCAAGCAGAAATATTTCTGTAGAAAATTTTTCAAAATATGTTTACGATACGGTAAAAATACGAACGTCGGAAAAAACCGAACGCAATTTGTTCGGATTTGTCACGCGAATCCCGTATAAATCACGCATGTTCATTGGAAATTTTCGTACCTAATTTTCAAGATGGTCGCTATTTATCAAAACATATTTTGTTTGGTAGGATTTGCTACTCTGTGCAGTTGCTGTTTTCTAGTTATAATAGGGTGATGGGGGGAGGGGTTTCGCTAGCCAAAAATTATTTTACTCAGGCATTGAGTACTTTTCAAGTGATTTTGGATCAGAAAATTGTTAAAGGACCGTGAGTTGTTTTTAGAATGAATCGAGGGAGTTTTCTAATGCATTTCTCTCAGGCCAGTAGCCAGGATTTGTCAAGGGGGGCTCAGTTTTCAAAAATTTCCAGGGAGGGTTCACATTTGACAATTTTTGCCCAAATATGACTAAAATCACTTGAGAAGTGCTCAAAATTGTGAAAAACTGCATGATTTTGAAAGAATATTTGGCCAGGGGGGAACAATTTGTTCGCCAGAACCCTGCAAGAAGTTTGATAAGACATCAATAAAGGTAGAAATGTAGATATTTAGGAAACATGTATCTTGAAAAATGGTGCCCATTACATGCTATTTTATGATTTTCGCTATTACTTGAAAAGTAGTGGAGTGATTTTTCTCACTTTGGCTTGTAGGTGGCCATTCTGAAATTTATGTTTTTTACAATAACACAAAATATAATAGAGCGATTTTGTTCATATATATGATGAACTATAAGCATGTCACACTGTTTAGTACACCTTGACTAGTACATGGTCATTTTAAAAATGGCTGCCAAAAAGTAATAGAACGATTTTGTTCATATTCACAGGTCGTAATAAAACAGCACTCTCTTGCAAAATCTGCGCAATCTGGTTAAAAATCGCACTCTCAAAGTAAAAATCACATACAGGTAGGTCATAAAGCTGCATCTAAACCACAATTTACTGTAATTAACCTATCTGTTTATTAAGTCGAATCACATATTTACCTCCCCTATTCACTCATTGCTGACATCAGCATATCTCAAGTTTCTTCATAAACTGGCACACAGTCGAGATGTCAATTTGTGTGCAGTCTCAACAACAACCTCAGAAGCACTCGTTGCCATAAGTCGCGCCCTCAAAACCCGGGTTTGCCGTCATCCAAACCCGCCTTTGCAAAAAAACGAACGGTGCATTATTTGACTCGTTCGTGTTATTTTCGAGAGTTTTCAAACCAGAATTTTCATTGCTTTTATTAGAAGGGTTCCTCGTAATTAACTCTTAACTATGGATATGTTGACTTAAATGCAACTGACTTTTAAAGAGATGTTTTGCGCATAGGGTTATGAATGAAGTAACTAGTATGATGAACAAGCTCACTGGCGGATCTGGGGGGGGGGGGGGAGACAGCCCCCCCCTCCTTGGGTGGGCCCAGAAAAAAGTTAAGCCCCAAAAAGCCCAAAACGAGTGGGCCTTTTTGGGCATTACTGGGCCTTTTTTACTGTTTTGTCAGCCTTGAAATTTGCACCCCCCCCCCTCCCCCTTTGTTGGTTTGTGGATCTGCCCCTGAAGGCAGTGGCCCTGAAGGCAAGGGGGGGGATTTTAGTCTGTAAAAAAATTTCTTAGCTTGCACCCTTAAAACCAAAAATTGGGTCCAATTTTTAAAACAAAGTTAAGGCCCATTTTTGATAAATTGGTCAAAAATGCCCTATAAAGGCCAAATTATGCCCAAAATACCCATTTCTTAAGGCCTTCCCAAAAATTTTGGGTCCAAAAAGTAAAAAAAATCTGGGGGGCAGGTCCTAGTGTTTTTTAGTGCAATTAGTAAATACATTGCCAGGTTTGTGAAATGGATTAATTTTAGCAAAATCAAGTATATCTGTTGGCACAATCAAGCACAATTGTCACAATCAATCTCTATCTAAAATCACTATATCATGTCATGCCATATCATGATCAAATCCCTTCAAGAGATCTTTTTATTGGATCTAGTAATGCAAATGAGTTGTACATTTAAAATTGAATCATGTTTAATCATGTTAATGGGAATGAATTGAAGAGATGAAGAGAACATTAACAAGTAAATACAATATCAAGTCATTTGGGAGTTGAACCCAAACCAAAGAATATTACTTCCTTGGTGAAGCCCACACAACTTTGAACAATATTGTAAAAACATATTTATGTTCATTTTTGACAAACTTGCCCTCTGCTTTTACAAGGACTTGGGACCTTCTAGCTAGGCTAGGTAGCATTACAAGTTTGTCGGTCTTCACTCTTCACTAAACTTGGACACTCTATTGCTTAGTGGCTTTGCCCTCCATTTTGTTCTTCTCCACTCTTTTCCTATAGGATTTTGTACTCCTGGGTATCGCAACTTTAGGAACAAAGGCCAGATTAACCAGGACACAGCTAGTCCCTGGAGTAGGAGCAATCATAACATACCTTGGAGCAGGAGCTGGAGGAGCACTTGCACTGGAGGTGAATGAAATCAAGTTGGAAGTTGGTTGAGGTTGAAAGGCAAGCGTATCAGGAAGAATCCTCCTGTTCACTCGTGACATTCCTTCACCAGCTGTGTTCTTGGGAAGATCGAACATGTGGGGATCATCCACGTTGGCTGAGGGCAATGCTGCCAACTTCTTATCCTACGGGAAGGGATCTGCTGATGAAGCACTTGCACTTGACAGGGGTATCCTATCCTAGAGTGTTTCACCAGTTTCAACTAATTTTTCAAATCAAGATGGAGTTTTGCCTAGTTGGTCTCCTGGTAAGGAGACAATTTTTGTGCTTGCTTTCCTCCACAAGGAGATCAACTGGGCAAAACTCCATCTTGATCTGAAAAAACGTTAACAAGACACACAGTGATAAATATCGCACTTTGAAGAGCAAACTGGCCACCATGCAATTTACCCAGCATGGCCAAAACCTAATCAGACCTTGGCACTAGTCTGCTCTTGCATCTGTAAACATTTCAAGTTGACAAGGTTAGCGGTTTTCCTGCAATTTTGATGACAAGAATTTATTTGTAGTCTTGAACTTTGGGAAAATTTAGATAACATTGTTTGTGACCTAATTTGATGACCTTCGACCTTGAAAATTTCCTTAATTTAAATCCAAAATATCAATTTAGAAAATCAACTTTTTTGACCTTTTCAAGGTCACTGAAGGTGAATGAAAGGTCAAATCTGTTACCTAGATTTGAACTTCTGAGAACTTGTAGATGTTTTTTAAAAAAAATTGGTCAATTTGGAGCAAGTTGAAAAATTCAAAATGGCCGCCAAATTGAAAAATTCAAAATGGCCACCATGTAATTCAGCCAGCATACCCAAAACCTAATCAGATCTTGGCAATAGCCTGCTCTTGCATCTGTAAAAATTTCAAGTTGAACGGATAAGTGGTTATCCTGGAATTTTGATGACAAGATTTGTTGAAAAATTCAAAATGGCCGCCACTTAGTTTACCCAGCATGCCCTTAACCTAATCAGATCTTGGTACTAGTCTGCTCTTGCATCTGTAAAAATTTCAAGTTGAACAGGTAAGCAGTTATCCTGAAAATTTGATGACAAGATTTGGTTTATGTGCCGTCCGCCCGCCCGCCCGCCCAACAGCACAAGACGACGACAATATAGCACTTTTTCAAAGTGCGATAAAAAGGGACACACTCTAGGGTATCCCCTGTTCTGTCCTATGTCATTCCTTTCATGTCTATTTTCTAAAAATCCACAAAGTGTACACTTTATTTCAGGAAAACTAAAGATATTTAAAATAATCTATTATTTGGGAGAATTTAAACATTTTTCACTCATTTTTGCATTTTGAATCCATTTTAACTTTACCAATTTATAACATATCGTGAATCTTCTGGGAATATCGTATTTGGAATTGTAAGGAATAGATTGGTAGGTCAACTGTACATGTTGCTAGTAATTTTTTCATCCCTATAGATCTTATTCTGCCTTTAAGTACAGCAACACTCTCCTTCCTTTTCTTATCATCAATCCTGAAAAATAGTGTAATGTAACATTAGACTGAATGAATATTTTAATATAGCGGTTGATAAAAAAAAACTAATTTGCTACAATATCACAATTTACTCTAGATTGTGGCTACAGAGTTGTGGTATCATTTTTCAACATGTTCAATGAACAATAATTCATTATTTTTTCTTTAAAATTAATGTTTTTCAATGCGAAAGACTGTAATTGGTTTAAATGAATGATGTACTTCCATAAAGTCAATGTGGCATTGTTGATGTGAAACAGCTGAATCTGTGTTCTGCTCATAACATCTGCATCTTTCACTACCTTTCTTCTAATCTCATTGTAGGATTTTACAATGAGGTTCAACCTCATCTCCTTCACACCAGCCACCTGGGTGGATCCAGGGTGAATTCCCAAGAGGTGTCTCATTACAGCCTCCATATATCTGTTGTGGTCTGGTGATCTGGCTACAACACCTTGGGTCAAGAATGCCCTAAAAAAGAACAAGTGATGAGTTTAAGGATGGCATTTAACTTTAACTAAGAATGCAAAAATCTACGATGTATAAAACATAAAATTTAATTTCTCTGCTATATATATTATAAGACCCATCAAAGCAGTATTCACATATGCTAATATTAAAAAAATTCTCTGAGACAGTCTGCATTGTCAGACACTACAAAATTATTTATCAAATAGATAAAGGCCCCATGTCAAGTTTGGATATTTAGTTTTAATCATTTAAATATTACTTTTAATGACTTAAAAAACTATTTAGATAGGTTGCTCACTTTGTACTTTTCAAATATTTGAATTTTAAATGGGGCCTTTAATTTCTTCAGAATATTCCAAATAAGAAACTCACCTGGTATGATTGTGAAAAGACGCAAGCAATGTTGAGCCCCGGGGACATCTGTAGATGGGAAGTGTTACCCTACCTTTCACTAATGTCCCAACCTCCATGTACAGAGGAACAGGTTCTCAGATCTAGGTCCAGAAGTTGTGCTCGATAGTATTGCGTCCATCTCTACCTTTAAAGGTATTGAATGCTTAAAATAATTATCCGACCTTGGGGGACTTTGGGATTTGGGAAACGATTGAAGGACCACATCTCCTGTTGCTTGCAGCAGCTCTGTATCTGTCACATCATCTGTGAAAAGATCCTCTTGCTGCCCTTTCTTCACTCCACTGTAAATAAAATAGGTCCATTTCAAAAGATTAATGTGAAAAATATGTATTATGATGAGTATAACATACAATGCAGTGATCTCCCCAGCATTAAAGCAAGTGGGCGCAGCACCCACCTGAGATTTTGAAAATAGGCTTGCACCCACCTGAAAATCCATATGCACCCACTTGAAAATGAGAAAAATCATGAAAAATTTGCATATATTGACCAATTTTGGTCTGAATTGTGAAAATGAACATTTTGTACCCACCTGAGAAAAAATTGTGGGGAGATCACTGCAATGCATTTGCCAGTTTGATCACTTGTGTGCAACAAAGGGTTAGGCTGACCTGAGTGGAAAACTCTGGAGAAGCCCCTAGGATCATTAGTGCATTCATTAATAAAATCATTATATATCGGACTCAAGATATTATTTGATTTTTAAGATATGTTGACAGGCAAGAGGCAATTTTCACCTGTTGTTTTCACAAAATCGCCAGTTGTTTTCAGGGATTTTTCAACTTTTCCATGTTAAATTTATGATTTCCATAAATTTTTCCTGTTTTCTTTTATTTAGCCTGTTGTGAGAAATTCTAGTGAAACCCCTGTGTTTATGTAATACTATAGAGTTCACATTAGCTTCGTCAGGTTTCAAAATAATTTTATAACATGTTTGTACATACTAGGAAACATACTGTAACAATTATTTTTATACCTCAATCAAACATTTAAACACTAATATATTCACTGTAACAGTGAATATCTTTCAGTGTTTGAATGTTTGTATGTACATGCTAGAAATAAAGTTAGAGATCTTACATATTGTGGATCAAAAAAAATTTTGCATGTGTAAAAACTTGAAATAATACTGGGGCCATTCAGAATAATGCTAGAAATAAGACTAGAGCTCTTAACAGCTCCAAAATATTTTTAGCATGTACGCACATAAACATATAAGAATATTGCTCAGGCTATTAAGAAAATTTTTACTGCGATTTCCCTGAAATGTTTTACATGTACGTACATGAGAAAATGGATCTATATACTTAATCAGCTTCTGGGGTCTTTTCTTGGAACCCTTTAACTTCTTCATCTCTAAGGCCTCTTTGCCCTCCAGAAATGCCATAAGGTACTTGACCAGGGTTGCCTTGTTCTGGCTCAGGGATGCAGGAGTTGCACACTCTCTGTCGACAGATTCTACAATGTATGCAGCATACCCAAAGAATTCTTTACAAGCCACTTGAAGGTCTGGCCTCTGAAGGCAGCAAACTGTAACATGAAGTGAGGGAGCCAATCCCACTCTTCCTTCGCACCAGGTCCAGTTTTCTTTGCTTGTGCCAGCACCTCAGCTAGGACCATGGCCCTCCCAACAGGCTTCCTCGCCTTATTGACTTGGGCAGCTTTTGCAGCTTTCTTGTTCAGACACGGGTGCACCCCAGTTGTCCGAAACCCAGTTGTCCGAAACCGAAACCCAGTTGTTGTCCGAAACCCAGTTCTCCGAAACCCATTTTTCCGAAACCCAGTTCTCCGAAACCCAGTTGTCCGAAACCCAGTTGTCCGAAAAATTTAGTCATAATTTACCAGATAAAGGGGGACGCACCTCAAGCCAGTTTCATGTCATGTATTTGGCAAAATTAATGGCATGGACGCATTCTGATGTATAGATCTCTCTCTCACTTTGAATTGCATACATTACACGGCGTTACCAGAATGACAGGAACGGGGGATTTATTTTACATTGTGATTCTAAAAAAGGTCATCAAAACACAATATATATTACGGAACAGTTGATCTTATCTTATTCAATACATTTTATATAGGCAAAATAAAATGAAACATTTTGAAACCGATAAAATAAGTTAACGCATAAAACTTTAAGAATAAACAGTACACATATTACGTTGTCAAAATGTTTCGTCGCATTTAATTTCTTAGTCTCTGTCTCTTATCAAATCGTAAAATGTAAAAGAACAAAACATTCTAAACGTAATCACTTGGGATTAACTGGAAACGAAGACAGGCTGTCCTCGTATCAAATTGGATGTTCTCCCATTCGCAAGAAGTTTCATTTTCGCCATGTACTCACTTCATCTTTTTGAATTTAATCTCTATTTCTCGAACAGAGTACCTAAATGAAGAATAATTTTTGGTTTCAAAAGATGTACACGACGTCGACTTTACTAAATAAATGCCCACTGGCTTGGGAAAACTATTTCCCTTTTATGAACGCCCATCACACATTGGAAAAATGTTGTTCCCTCTCAAAAAGCCCCATGGGGCATAAAGAAAATTGGTTTAAAAATTGTAGACCCCTATGTATGTTAATATGTAAACGCCACTTTGCAATGAGAATAGCATAATTT